GAGAGAGAGAGAGAGAGAGAGAGAGAGAGAGAGAGAGAGAGAGAGAGAGAGAGAAGGCTTTGTTAACATTGCACTAAAGCTGGCCTCTGCTCTCCATAAAAGCTCATTATAAAAAGATTATGAACATATAACAATATGTTTTAAGTGGGTGGCAATGATCCATAAAATTAGTGTGGCTAATTAGCAGATCAAATCTTTATGAGAACTGGATCACTTTCATATCCTTGGGTAGTTTAATTCTGGAGGTATTTTACTGTCTACATATGTTTAGCAAAATTAAAATAACAGTATAAAATGTTCAGAGGGATTAAAACAACACTGAAATGAAACCAAACAAAAAAAGGTTGATTTTACTAATAGATGAACAGAGAATCCAAGTGTTGATATAACATTACACAAAATCTAGAGCAAACAGAGTCTGAATCCCAGTCTCATTTCACATGTAATTAACCTTTCTCAATCAGGCTAAGCATTCTCATTTCTCCTTTGCCACTGCTTAGTACTCACATCCTTGATTTTTTGTGGTTACAGGACAAACCTCCGTGTCGTTGTCTATTCATCATTGCTGGTGTATATCTACTGTAGTCCGGTATTCATTCTCTGCTTTCATTGAGAGACATTCAGCCCACAATTAATATCTTCTATTATTTTTCATATAGATGGATGTTTTTCTTAACCTCAGACAATGAATGTTTTTTTTAAGGCTGACTGCCTGTCTTTGGACATGTGTATTCATTCCTAGATATAATTTCCCCAAAAGTGTGTTCCCTGGACTTTAGCAAGGTACCTACAGGAGCTGAGTTGGGAACTGGTGGAAGGCAAAGATTTAGCTTCTTCCTTAAAACAAATAATCAGATGAAGTTGACAAATGAGGACTTGTGTAAATATCTTTACAGTTCCTCTCTTGAAAACAATTCTCTTTGGGAGTTTTAACATCTGTCAATGAGCCTGCAAGTTTGCATTTGAAGGCACCAGGGTAAGGTCTGATTCAGTGATGGGATTCAATTTTTTTTACTACCAGTTCTGTGGGCGTGGCTTGGTGGGCGTGGCAGGGGAAGCATACTGCAAAATCTCCAGTCAGAGGTGGTACTTGACAGTTCTCTGAACTACTCAAAATTTCCGCTACCAGTTCTCCAGAACTGCTCAGAATCTGCTGAATAACACCTCTGGTCTGATTCATAAAAAGAAATGGGAGGAGTTGTTTTGGAGAAACACCTGACAGATGTTTCTCCAAAATAATAATCCTCATCATCCTTTCTCTCTCAAAAAAAAACCCCAATGTCAAGAATCAATATCACAGTTAAGTTCCAGTTCAGAAGATTTATTACTCAAGCCTATGTACAAGAATATGATCAACTAATGATCAGCATTAAATTGGCATTAGATAAGAGTTTGTGGAACCTGGAGCATTTGTGAACACGTAATGATTCTAGACTGAGCCCTCTCTTGACTCCACCCCCAGGCTCTGCCTGCTCTTCTTCTACAGTCAGGATGCTATGCAGAGAAAGGATTCAGGTGGAAGTTGCATTGCTTACCTTCATTAAAAGAGGGAGGGAGGGAGAGAGAGAGAGAGAGAGTCAGAGTCAGAGTCAGATACTAAGATGTGTGTGAACACCTGTGATAATATAGCCCCTTATATCACATCTAGTGTCTCAAAATCATTGGGCCCCTTATTAGCAAACTTTCGCCTCTATTACTGTCAATGATTGCAGATCAGCTATTAAAGACTACAAGAATTACAAGAATGTAATGATCTTACAAAATTTTATGAATGTAGCAATTTTAACTGTAGCAGTGCTATGGGGAACCAGTAGATTTGCTCTATTACCAACTAAACCCAGATTGTTATTGTTGTTATGATATCCAGTCACGTTTTCATTCATTGACCACTTTGTTCCCAGTTCCTCCATCAATCTATGTATGGAAATTTGCTATACACCATAGTATTTCCTTAGCTTTTATCTGATTTACTCACATGATGTTGGCCTTTATTGTGTACTAAATGCCAGTGATTGCATGTTCAATTACTGTGTATTATTATTATTGTTGTTGTTATTAATTATTGGACCGCCAGCCAGATGTTCAGACTGGGTGTGGCATTTTTGTCTACCTATCGAGTCCTTACCAAGGACCTGAGATAGGCAGATGTGGATGTTTGATAGCATTACAGGTATCATTGCAGGATGGAAACTGTTCCCAGTGAAGCTGCCTTCTGAAATTGACTGATGGCGAATTTGTCAATGCCGATGGTGTTCAAGTGGTGCTCCAGTTGTTTTGGGATTTCACCCAAGGCACCTATTACTATTGGTACTACCCTTGCTTGCCTTTGCCACAGTCATTCTATTTCTATTTGTAGGTCTTTGTATTATTATTATCTTCATTATTCCTTTCATTGCTTACTTATAAACCAGAGTTATTGGAGTTGGGCAGTATATAAATTTAGAGGTGAAGGAGGAGAAGTATTCATATTTATAGGAGCTGTGGTGGCACAGTGGTTAGAATGCAGTACTGCAGGTTACTTCTACTAACTGCCAGTTGACAGCAGTTTGTCAGTTCGAGTCTCACCAGGCTCAAGGTTGACTCAGCCTTCCATGGTCAGTAAAATGAGGAGTCAGGCTGTTGGGGGCAATGGCTGACCACTTAGAGAGGGACGCAAAGCACTGTGAAGTGATATATAAGTCTAAGAGCTATTGTCATATTGTAGCTTGGTAAGGTATTCATACCTAAGATGTTTTTCGGTTAAGTGCAGACGGGAAAATCTGGGTCTCCAATAGGCTGCTGCATAAGACAGAGGAAACTGTATGTTGTGGAATGTAAAATTAGGGGATTATGAATCAATTGCCTAGCTGGAAGCTACTCTAGGCTTCTTTCAATCAAACCCAGGTTGATACCTTGTGACAAAGTGGCAAATTGGTAATGCAGCCTAAGTATTTTGTTGGCTTCCAGTGACTTTTTCCTACCTGGGAATGGGAGAAAAGCCCCCCCCCCCCCCCCCCCGCAAACCGTAATCCTACTCTCCTATCTTTTGCAGAAGTGCTGATTCTATCTCACCAGGAAGCATGATTTAACCTCATCCAAAGGAAATGCTTTTCAGGTTTGAGAGGGAGGAGGGTTTGTTCATAGTTCTGAGACTGAAGAGGAGGAACTATGGACCCCACAGAAATGGGAAGTGGATCGTCCCAAGCAAGTGGTCCTAGTGCTAAGAGATTAATCCCTTTTGGAGGGCAGGGAGAAGTAAAGAGTTCCTCATTAGTCACCATCCCCGTCTCTTCCTGAAGGGGACATGGATTGGATGCAGCTGGTTCAAAACCTACTTAGGAACACAATAGTTTTGTCCTAGACTGTGAACAAGAGATACGTATGTAAGTTAATGCACCTTGCCAGTTTAAACTCTTCCTTTAAAGGAGGAAGAAGACATTAAAAAACATTTGTTTACGTTTGAAAGAATTAACTATCAATAAAGGAGAATATTTGTAGTTCAGGTTTGAAATGAGGGGGTCCTTGGTGCTCTGAGCTTGCTTGTTTTCTTGCAAACATTTCATCACCCTAACTAGATATCAGTGCTAGAATTACCTATCTTTAAATATTAGAGAAGTAGTACAAGAAAAAGACAATGTTCAGAGGTAAAAGCAAAGGGAAGTGGAAAGGAAAAGAGGTGACATTGTTTCTGTTGTAATTATTAACTGAGCTGGATATTGGGCCAATGTTCACAAAAACAGGCCAACTGTTAGAAATGTTCCCAGCCAGTGATCAATGATCAAAAAGCAGAAGGCCCTTAGGAGAATCACAAAATGCACATTTAAGTGGGTTTTTCTAGGCAAAGACAATCCTGTATCTTTACCAAAGAAAAGTGTATGAGCATTATAGAGAAAGCAGCACATGCTCTGAACTGGGCAATGGAAAGTCTAAAAATTTATCTGAGGGTCATGAATTTTCAGTAATCACAGACCACTAACCATCAGACCGCAGGCACTAATAGAAGATTTACACGCTCTTACTTGACCCTGCTGGCATACAAATTTGTTATATAGTACCAGGCAGAAAAGCAATTGCCAAAATTAGCAATTGCCAAATTGCTGATTTTATGGCATTGATACAGAGATATCTACAATATCTGTAAAAGAGCCACTATTGACACATGGGAAACTCCTGGGGAAGAAAGTAGGAGGATAAATGGCTTGTAAAACTAGACACATCCTGGAGACTCCTGGTTTATTTAACAATAGTTTGTTGAAAAAGCCACTACAGGCCAGGTCTTCATATTAGATAATCCAGGTTATGGCTTAGAGTACAAGGTGTAAGATATGTCACTGGTTTCAGCGGTACTTCCTCTCAGATAAAATGCATTCAATTGATGTCTTAGAAGAAAGATAAATATAAATACAGATAAACCTCAACATATTTTACTTTTTGAAAAAGTGCTTACTACTTAGATTCGAAGTTTGGACAATCAACCCCGCAGGTCACATGATCGTATTTTGGGTGCCCAGAACTCGGCCTGCATTTATGGCTATTTGCAGTGTCTTGTGGTCATGTGATCATGATTTACGACTTTTCTGCAGGAAATTGATGCTTTCTTGCAGACAACAGGATCCCTTGTCAATGGATTCCCTTACCGATCGTCATAAAAAATGTCATAATTCTAGGCTCAATTAAGGTCGCAAATCTAGGACTACCTACTAAAGAAGGGACCTATTTTATTTTCTAAAGGTCTTTTTTTTAAATAGCTTCTTGTAAAACCTTTTTTACCCTAGAAAACATCAGAGATAAGTGTTAATGTGGCTAGAAAGGAAAGAGAGTCTCTGTCATAGCAGGGCCACAGCTGACTTTGCTTGAACATGAAGAAGATGAGTCACCTAGTAGAGTTGGCTGTAATATCAGTATCAAATGGATATTAAACTCCATGACAACCCTATTAAGAGTAGGATGTCAAAGGAACTTTCACTCGGCAACGTAAAGGCATCATTTCCTGCCCACGCATTGTCTGTGTTTGACTAATAATGACATTCATTTCCATCCTATCTACTGTATTATGTTCACCTTTTTCGTTAAAAGGTGTTAATTTTTTTGTTAAAATAACCCTGACAGTGCTTTAGGCCTACATTTATATCCCTTATTTAAGCAAGTGTCTTTGCACTAAACCGTACCGGCAAGGACTTAAGATGATTGTGCTTACGTGTTTACATAAAATACAAAGCCCTCAGTAGGTTATGCTTTGGATTTGTCTTTGGAGATTCTCAGTCATCCAGGCCATGGTTGTCCCAAAGGTGCTTTTTTTTTTTCAAGAGGCAATTGGACTTTCTGGTTTTTCTTTGAAGACATTTCTCTTATCATCCAAGAAGCTTCTTCGGCTCTGACTGGAAGGATGGGGAATGGAAGGATTTATACTTCAGTATAATATCAGTATAAATCCTTCTAGTTCCCACTATCCAGTCAGAGCCAAAGAAGCTTCTTGGATGAGAAGCAAAACGTCTTCAAAGAAAAACCAGAAAGTCCAGTTGCCTCTTGAAAAAAAGCACCTTTGGGATATGCTTTGGATTATTTCCATTGCTAACACAATTGGGGTTGTTTATCTCTTCCCATCTGAATAACATGAGAGCAAGCAATACAGAAGAGCCATCCATAAAACTCTGAAGATCTGGCTATTCCTCTGAGCACTGGGACAAGAGGCTATAGGGTTTGGCGCCTGGTTTTTGTTGTTTCTAATGTGCTTAGTTTTATAGTTAATTATGGCTTTAATGCTGTTTTTATTTTTGATTGGTAGTTGCTCAGTTGGTAGTTGTTGGTTATGGCAGGTGCATGTGTGTGTGTCAGAGAGGGAGGGAAGGAGGGAGGGAGGGAGAGAGAGAGAGAGAGAGAGAGAGAAAATACACATGATATGGGAAGAACCAATGAATCTGTCTTTTCTGCACATAAAGTGGGTACCATCCGACAGTTTTAATTATATTGCTGCTGAAGACACAATATTTCACTTTGCTTCCTGGACAGTTGTAAAGTGTTGAAAATGTAGATGACTAAAAAGATTACCTGAACCTTCTCTGCGAAACTCACTATTGAAATGATAATTTGTTGTCAATGGTAGTTTGTAAATGAAATCAGGACATTGTTTGGTTGTTAAATCAACTGATATTATGTCCATAGTTTATAATTGCACAATTTATTTTATTAAATGAGTCAATCACTTTATCTGAGGCAGAAATTAACCTAAGAGGAAAATGTTTTCAGTCTATTGTTTTCCTGAATGGATGAAAAATTAAACTCATGCTTGATTCTCACTGAAATCAACAGAAGTTAAAGCTGCATGATGTTTAGTAAGCTTTATATCTGATCATGGAAGTTAAAAGGGTTTATGTGGTATGGCAAGTAGTTTCTTGGGAATTGCCTAGATCCAACCAGATCAATTTTAGCAAATGCATAACAGATACAAGTCATTTATTTGTTTCAATGAGATAACTAACGTTTTAAATTTGTGTATGGGATTCTTTTGAGAACCAAAAAGAGGCAAAGAGGTTTGGCTGATAGAAAGAGAGAATTACTTGTCAACCCAATCACTTGTCATCTCAACACTAAGCTACAGTGTTTGAAATTTGAGTTAGTGTTGTGATTATAAATGGAATCATACCAAGTTCAAGCCAAAAATTCAGCCCTTGTAAAACCAGCTAACAAATGGGAGCAAACACTGAGGGGAAAAATAGTTAACTAGAATTGTCAGCTATGTTTTTAAAATCCTATTTAAAATGCATCGTTCTTACTAAACCAAAGAAACTGCAAGTTCCCAATACAGGGGCTCTTTCTCTCTCATACTGGCCTTAGATAACATTACCAGAAAGCTTCATTCTTCTGAGAATGAATGCATGAAAACGAATTTTGCATAACAATGACAAAATCATAATTCTGAAAAGAGCTTGCTTAGTTTGAATAATACTCAGGTGGAGTCTTTGATACAGTTATCTTTGAGGAGTCTGTTTGATAATATCTCTGACAAGATAGAAAAAAAAAAAAGGAAGAGTTCCATTAAGGACTCCAACACAGAGACAAGATCCCATCACAGTTTTTCAGGCTTGTGTTTGTTTTAGATAAAGGTCACAGACAAAGGCTTTTTAAGTCTTCTTGATATTAGAAAAATGAAAATGGGAGTTTAACTTGAAGGGCCTATGGGAAGATAATTTTTAACAATACATATTTAGAGTATTACAAAGGGCTTTCCCAATAAATCATAGAAAACACTGGATGAGCCTAATATTTCCCAACCTTACAAAGTCCCAGAAGGTCCTAGCCAGCATGGGTGTTGTGGTGATTTCTAGAAGTCCTCATAATCAAAAATTGCCAAGGAAAGAGGAGAAACCAGGGGTGGGAGTCTACCGGTTTGGACCGGTTCAAGAGAACCGGATGTTAAAGTTACAGCTTGTTCTCTAAACTGCTATTTCAACTGACTGGCTGCCCCTGCCCCTCCCCTCCCTGGAGTCCCCACATGGCCCATTTTTGAAGGAGGTAAGTGCAGGGTCCGTGCAGAGGCTCTGGAAGGGGGGAAAAACAGGACTTCTGGAACTCTGGAAGACCTCCCAGAGGTCAAGGGGAGGCCTCTGGATCCTTGGAAGGGCGAAATGCCCTCCCCGGGCTCTGGAGGCCCACTGGAAGCTGGAAACAGGACGTTCCAGTAGGTCCTGCCCACCATGGCCCTACCCGCCCAGCTACAGGGCAGCAAACCGTTTGCTGGGTTTTTTGAATCCCATCCCAGGGAAAAACCCTGATTAGATCTACACATAAATGCTGTCCCTATAACATAGACAATTTCCCTTTACAACGTTAGATAATTGATCCATCTAGTTCAGTTTTACTTTGAGAGATTGGCAGAACAGAAAGGAACAGAATAACAGAGTTGGGACTTTGGAGTCTTCTATTCCAACTTCTTGCCCTATACCTTTCCAGACAAGTGGCTGTCCAATCTCTTCTTAAAAGCCATCGATGGAGCGCCCACAAGCTGTCCCACTGGTTAGTTGTTCAGAAATTTCTCCTTAGTTCTATGTTGGTTCTCTCCTTAATTAGTATCCATCCATTGGAAAATTCACATCCTTGTGGCAGTCCCTCAAATATTGGAAGAGCTAGCAAGGCTGAAGACCTTCTTCATGTGGACTGCTATCAAATGGACAGCCTTTTCATGGCTAGGACAAGATGCATCCCATCAATATTTTCTCTCTTTCCATGGAAGTCCAGCAGAGGGGCAAACAATGGC